TCTCCACCTTGGATTGTGGCACTTGCGGGCTCTGACGCTTCGCCTGACTGACTGCAACCGAAGGAAGCTTCGGTTCTGCTTCCTGGATCAAATCCGAGACATTCGTTTCTGCCTCAACTACAACCACATCTGGCGTTTTTGTCGCGACCTCAACCTCTGCAGGAGTCTCTCTTTCGGCCTTGGGTTGTGGCACTTGCGGGCTCTGACGCTTCGCCTTATCAGATTCAAGACATTGATCTGATAAGCATCATGGTAAAACGGCATTTTAAATTTTGCAAATTTGCGCAAGCTTTGGATAGCTTTGGCGCTTTTTGAATGCTGAGCCAAAATGGCATCCTTGAGCCAAAATGGCTACGGACTTGAAAAATATTAGTCAATAGGAAGGATTATCCCATATATATATTATGGAAAAAAAAATGTTCCAAACCACCAACCAGCATAGAGTTGTAACCAAAGGGACTACTCTAGAACTGACCTGTATCCAAAACTCTGGCCCATTGCCAGGTGCACTGACCATCGCCTGTCATGATAGCGAAACCCAATGACATCCAATGACCCATGGCACCCCAAACACCAGCCACTGAGTTTGCGACTGAAACTGTACCTTCGCCCATCGCTGCCGGGATTCACTCGGTTCATATATGCTGATCTCTGCAAACACTCCACCCCAGATAGCTAAGTTGGTTGAGAACTAGCCTAATTCTGGTTTATGGTAGACATATCTATGGTTAATGGGGTTTGTAAACCAACTCATGAGGGTGGATATACCTACAGTTTATAATAGTTCTTAGGGATTATATAGCGAGAAACATGAATCGGGTGGACCACCTTGCATGGTTGAGCTGTGTATCACATGTTTAGCTAAGTCTGTTCTGGGATATTTCTTGCCTCTCATGTTTTTACTTTTTGTTGATTGATCTGGTGATGAGCTCCATAACCTTGCAACAGAAAATTGACATTTTTTTACACTCTCACAGCAAAAAGTTCGATGGTTTTCCCATTGTTACAGTATGTCTCTATTTTTTTGTATCAATATTACAGTAATCCCATATATTATTGGAATTATCCCATACATTATTGTCAATGTTGCAGTATAGTTCAATTTTCCCATTATTTCCCAACATTTTCCTATGATTTTCTCTTTTTCACAAAGCTCCATTTGCGCGCAAAATCCGCCAAGTTGCTGGCAGTTTCGGACAGCAAATCCAAGCGAAAATGGGGCCTCAGCGGTCTGCGTTAAGTCTGGGGATCCACATCAATGGAGCTTTGTTCATGAAAACCATCGGAAAATCATATCCATATGCGAACCCCATGGTGCTGGTATATTTACCATAAAATTTACCATTATTTACCTTCAGACACACCCAAATATCTGGAATATAAGTTGTATAATCATTAGATATATCTAAGAATCTAACATCATTGGATACAACCCAAATATCTTAAATGGATTAAATAACCAGGGGCTACTCTTATAGATATGAATACCCAAATGCAACCCATGGTGCTGGTATATTTACCATTATTTACCTACATGACTGGGTGATTTTGGACAAGGGCCAATGTTGGTCAATATTCCAGCACCATGGTTCGCATATGGGATAGGTTTAAAATCTTGGGACATCCACAATCCATGGAGGACCAAATCATCGAACAAAATCCTCCAGTCGCTATGTTCCATGTGAAAATTAGATGGTGTCATTCAGTTTGAGTTGCTATATATATATATATGTATATATATATGGCACAATATCTCACTAACCTGAAATAAGGCTATTTGGAATGATTCCCCTTACTATCCATTATTCCAGTGAGGTCGCAGTGAGGTCGTTATAATTTGCCCAGATATACATATAATATATAACTATATATATAACTATATATATATACTATATATATATAACATTATATAACTATATATATATACATATAACTATATATATATATAACTATATATATATGCATAACACTTGACATGGGACGCCTTAAATGATGCTTCAAAAGACCTCCATGGTTTCAGTTTTAGCAAATACCCAACTACCCTTTTCCAATTGATTAAATATCACAAAAATATCACATGGTTCAAAATTGCCACAACTGGGTCCCAACCCATGTCCAACCACACAAGAACCATCTAACGGTAGTAAAGCAACAGGATGAACCATCCTCAAAATTTACCATTTACTGTATATGGGGTGTATAAACCATCAAAATGTGGTATAAGGTGGTATCAATCATCAAACTAACATCACATATGGTGGTATATGCTGCTATATGGCTTTGTCTGTGCAGTCGGATATCTCAGAATCCAATCATTTACCATCATTTTCATTCATTTTCCCTATTCAGATCTGGTTGGTGGTTTCAACCCCTCTGAAAAATATTAATCAATGAAAAGGACTATCACATATATTCATGGGTCCTATACCCCCCCCCCCAGACCCAACAGACACACCCAATGGGTGCTGCCACCATTTTCCGAGCCGCGGGAGGCCCGGGAATCCCTCGTGCCAGCCTGACCTGGAAGAAAGGCCCTTAGAGCCGAGCCACGGCGCCACAAGCGACGGCGGAAAGGGATGGAAAGGGCAAATCCCGGTGGGGAAATCTGGTCAAATTGCAGGCGCCACTCGTGTTTCTTTCCCATGATAGAACTTGGCGGTTCTTCGATGTTTGAAAGTTAAAGAACGGTGGAGAACTTGTACCACGAAACTCGGGAGATACCTTGAGAATCCATTCCGAATTTGCTTGTGGTACTACTCTCAAATACCCGCCTTAAAATCGAAGCCACCAATTTTCAGAAACCTCGAGGAATGATGAATTTATATATTGAACCTACATTCACTTTTCGAGGCCAAGACATGGGGGAATTGGCCAGAGAGAGATTGGACCCTTAAACCACAACCTGACTGGGGGTCTCATTGGTCTCAACTGTCCAATTCTTGGGGCAACAGGCGAAATGTGCCAATGTTTTTTGGAAAGCAAGTTTGACCCATAATCATAAGGATCATAAGGATTCATATGTCATGTATGTAATCTGTATGTTTATATATACTCAATGTGTATGTATATATATATATATCACAGAGGGTATTCATAACATAGTTGTTTGAATGGAAACTATGCTGATAGATGATAGATGATACAATTCTGGGCTATGCCACTTTCAAAAGAAAGCCATGGGTCATGCTTAGGTTCACGCGGCAACCAAACATTCAACTTGGGAAAATAATGATAAACAGTGGAATTGTGATGGACTTTGGGGGTTTCAGATCATGGCTAATCTTCGATAGCCTGCTAAGATTGCCACTTGGGCGCGTCTGAATAGGCTACTCCGGAAAACACCCCCATTGTTTATCATCATTTTCCCTTAAAAAAACATCACCCAGAGGATATCCCAATTTTGAAACAGCTCCAATTTTGTACCCTCTGGTAAACGTTTACATAACTATGGAAAATCACCATTTTCAATGGGGACATCCACTATAAATCACCATTTTCAATAGCTATGTTAGTTTACCAGAGGGTATGTGTTGCTTGGTAGATCCCATATGTCATTGCAAAAAGTACGCATGAAATCACCCGCTTGCCCGAGCAAACGAGCCAGGCTGCTGATCGAGATCGGGCGGACAGTTGGCTCTCGGTCGACTCCTCCTACCAAGAAGTTCTGAGATCCCGTTCGTTGGAGCTCCGCAAAACCATGGGTTTGGAAATAACCTATTCAATGGGACTAAATTGATGGGACTCAAAAGGAGAAACCACCTACTAATTATTCCAGAAATCTACATACAGCCTCTTTTTTCAATGGGACTAAATTGATGGAAATTTGGATGATTTTGAGGGTTCTTCACTGTTCTTCATGCTGTCCCGCTGAGCCATCTTCATCTTCGTGAAGAATTGGTTCCCCAATGAAGAACGACTGTTATCGTTTTTGGGGTGCCTGGCTAAGGTTCCTACTCAACCTGGCTGGAAAATCCCCAAACTAAATGGATGTTTGCAAAGTTTGCATCTGGGAAAATAATCTATATACTTTGCAAACACCATATCTCAAATACCATACTTTTCCATATGGATTTACCCTAATCTATATACATATCTATAATTTTGACGATGGAAAACCATGTGAACATCTTGGGAAATCCCCATGGAAATCACCGAATCACCGAAAAACACCGTCTCACGTCCGTCGGCTCCGGAATCTGACAGTTCGGTGACGAGGGGCTAACCTGGAAGGAACAGTACCTACAATGTGGGGCCCCCCAGTTATAAGTACTATAGTTATAAGTACTGGCATATAACCAACTTATAACCATAACTAAGCAGTTATAACTATAGTTTGGTTTATAGCTGGTTTATAAACACCATGAATACTATTATAGGTACTATAAACCAAATATGGCATATGGGAATAGTACCTATGTGCTCAATATTACCATAGAAATATAAGTCAAGATGCCAATATGGAAATATATGACCTATATGACTTATATTCCAATGTGTCAATATGGAATGTTTATTCCTCCAAATATGGCAATAGTAAAGTACCCATAGGATCTGCGTGTGAGAATTTCATGCATCCCTATCTATCCAATTCTCAAATGGAAATACTTCCACTTTTGCTTTGACTACTACCCAACGGGTGTAGTCCAGACTACTACCCTCCGGGTGTAGTCTAGGAATCTTGAAGAACCTGCATCTGGGCCGGACCGAAGCCCTTTAGATGTCAAGTGGCACAAAGGTGCGTCAGCTGGCAGCGAGGTGGCTGCTTGGAGTTTTGGGGAAACTTGGTTTTGTTTTTTGGGTTGAAACATTCTTTTTCCGGTTGGAGTCGAGATCTCAGTTGCTGTTCAGGGTTCCAGGACGGTTCACTTGTTGGCATTGGGAGGCTTCAGGAAACACAGGTTATGAGCCCAAGGAGCTTGTGTGAACCCCCAAAGACTTCTGACATGATGCGTAGACGTAGACCGGATGGCGGCGCTGTCGATGGATCTGGCGCTGAGCAGATGATGGCAGCTGGCGCTGAGCAGATGGCGGCAGCTGGCGCTGAGCAGATGGCAGCGGCTGGCGCGGTGCAAGCGGCGGCAGCTGGTGATCGGCAGATGGCGGCTGCGGGCGCTGAAGGCGATGCAGCACAGGCGCTTGGGGCGAGAGGAGATGCAGCTGAGAGAGGCCTGGAACTGGTTGGACAAGAACTTGTACCAGCTTCTCAAGCCTTGGCCTTGAGGACACCGGATGGGTTGGAGAAAGGGCGAGAGTCAGACGCTGCAAAGGGCTCTAGGTCACCAAGGGCAGCCACAGAACCAGTTAGCCAGGGTCAGAAGTCAAAGGAGGGTTCAGTCAGAGGCCAAAAAGGAACCCCAAAAGAAATAGAACCAGAGAAGTGTCAAGAGATGGCAACACCCAGTGGACAGCCAGTTTCACTAGGTCCCCATTCCTTTGTGACACCAGAGGGACAGGTCCAAAGTATGTTGCCACTTTTTTCACCAGAGCAGACGGTGAAACTTCATGAGATCCACCAGATGCCTTTTGCATCGCCTGCGGCTTCATGGAATGGTCCTGCGGTTGGAGAACATGGACACGGGGGAGCTGAGCGACAAGCAGTTCCAGGTTGGTTCACAGGGTTGCTTCAATCAGTAGGATCTCAGCAAGGTGAACATGAGGCGAGGCAAAGGGATTACATGTGGAGAATGCAAGTTGAGCATGGCATAGAACATCTAGGGGTTCAGTTGCGTGCGGCACAGCATGAAAACCAAAGACTTCGTCAAGAGCGTCAAGAGTTGTTGGAAGCCTTGGAAAAGAAGGGATCGTCGAGGTTTACCACACCAGATGACAAAGCAGCCAACATGTTGAAAAAGGAGGAAGGGGCAGAGTCCCGACAAGAAAGACCTTCCAAGGAGGAAGGGGCAGGTGCCCGGCAAGGAACACCTTCTAAGGAGGAAGGGGCAGAGGCCCGGCAAGACAGATCTTCTCAGGAGGATGGGGCAGAAGCCCGGCAAGAACAGTCAGGGAGCGATTCGTCTTCTGAGGAGCCGCAAAGAGCAAGCAGGCCAAAGGAGAGCGTTGACAAGCAGTCCATGAGGATCATGCTCAAGTTGATGGAGGGCATGCAGGAGCTTCAGAAACAGATTGTGATCTCCAAGGAGGAAGGAAAAGGTGATGAGATTGAAGTGGTGCGCTATGTGGCGGATCTCCCAAAACTTGCTGAATGGAATCCGGAGACGGCGCCCATCGATTTTGGTGATTGGGTGATTTGTCTGCATCCTCATATGGCAGACTTGAGCTCAACGAGTGAGATGTGGTGGGACTTGACCCTCTCAACAGCGAGGACTTGGTATGATCACCACATGAAGCTATCGCCAATTGAGAGGTTGACGAGCACACCAAGGCCTACACCAGAGTTGCAGCAGAAGAAGTGGTCCCGGCTGGAAAGAAGGGCTTCGTCCTTGCTCTTGAATGCGTTGCCGCAGACGATGAAAGAGGAGGTGAATTGCGGCGAAGTCCATCACAGCTTTGGGCATTTTGTCTCGTGCGATGCTGCAGTTTCAACCTGGAGGGCTGACAGAGAGAAGCGCTATTTTGACGGCGCTGGAAGCACCTATGGAAGCTGCAACCGTGGGTTCAGCCATCCAACAGCTGAGACGTTGGATGAGATGGAAGCGCCGGGCCCTTGAAGTTGGAGTTTCAATTCCAGACAGTTCAATTTTGATGAAGGGATTGGGACGTTTGGTGAGGAAAATTGTTTCCAGTTACCCAGATCTCAACTTCCGCTTGTCGTTGGTCAAGAGCTCATTGTTGGTGGAGACAGTTCCAACGTTGGAGACAGTAACCCAGTACAGCGAACACCTTCTTGCAGAGCTGGAGCAGATGGGACAGCAGGCAAAAAGGAAGGAAGTGATGGCAGAGAGCCAGCCAAAGGTGAAGAAGTTTGAGGAAGCCTCGGGAAGCAAGCCTGAAGAAAGGACCAGGCCGAAGGGGAAGCCTCAAGAGGAGTTTGAAGGGAGGAGGAAACCATGTAGGTTTTACCTCACAGACTCAGGTTGCCGAAGAGGTAGAGGATGTCCTTTTGGACACCAGTTGGATGGAGAAAGAAGGTGTTGGACATGTGGAGGAAAGGACCATATGGCCACAGCCTGTCCGACCACAGAGGAGTCCAAGCCGAAGGCAGCAAAGTTTGGTTCCAAGACCCCAGAGAAGGATGTGAAGTCCGCTACAACATCTCCTGAAAAGTCCGAGGAGCAGTCTGAGGCCACGGGTAATGGAGGAGAAGAAACTATGAAGTCGTTGCTGGATGAAGCAAGTCGGATGCTCAAATCAATGAATGAAGGAGATGTCAAAGAAAAGAGACAGAAAGGGGAGGACGCACAAGAAAGGATCTTGGGCCTACAGAAGCAGCTGGATGAGCTCAAGAAGGCTTCTATGCGACCCTTTCGCATCTCCAAGTTGTGCCCAATGGTGAACAAGGGCTTACTGGACTCAGGGGCAACACACCCTTTGCGAGCCAAAAGAAAGGGAGAACGTCTTCACCATCTACCAAAGGTCAAGGTGACGCTGGCAGGTGACAAGGAGATCTATATGGCACTCACTCCAACGGGAGTCATTGTGGGCGAAGAAGGCACGGAGCCCATAGTGCCCATGGGATTGCTGACTGCAGTCCTTGGATGTGAAATCTCATGGAAGCCAGAAGGTCTTCAGGTGGTGCACCCAGTGCTTGGCAAGTTGGAGGTGGTGGTTGAAGCTGGATGTCCAATGGTATCACAGTCCACGGCCATGAAGCTCATCGAGGAGATTGAGGCCAAGGCCGTGAAGGTTGTGAAAAGTTTGAAAACGGGGGAGGACTCAGAAGAGGCATGGTTGAGAAGGTTGGTTGATGAACACCCAGCTCTTCAAGGAATCCCTGAGGAGGTAAAGAGAAGCTTGGTGGAGAAGCCTGCAACGGACATCCTACTGTTGGGAAACAGAAGAAGAAGGAAACTTTGGAGGGCGAAGGGTATGATGATTCATGCCTTTTCGGGAAAGAATGAAGGCTACACATTGGGAAGGGCTTTTCATGAGATTGGAGGTGATCGTCGGTTGATGTATGAGTTTGACATCACCCATGGAAAGCCTGAAGCAGATCTTTCACCTGAAGGTGAGGCCTACCCGCTCTTGTTGAGGGCAGCTTTGGATGGATTGGTGAAGGGTTGGATAGCCGGGCCACCATGCAGGACCAGATCGGTTCTCAGACATCTTGAAGTTCCAGGGGAAGCCATGCCGAGGCCTCTGAGAAGTTGGAATGGAGGGAGTTTGGCATAGAAGGGCTTTCGAACTTTGAGAAAGAGCAGGTCACCTTGGATGACACGTTGCTCATGCGGTTTTTGGTTCTCTACATTGTGTCAGAGACGGTGCGCAGAGCAGCTGGGCTAGAGACACCCACCACTTTGGTCCTGGAGCAGCCTGCCTCACCTGAACACAAGCCTGAAGTGGTGTCGCTTTGGAGAACACCTCAATGGAAGAGCTTGGCCGAGATCTATGAGCTGCAGACCCAGCGTTTTGACCAGTCAGAGTTTGGGGCCATAGCTATTCCTACAAAGCCAACGACTATAGGAGGAAATCTGCCACTTCAAGTACCACTTCAAGGAAAGAAAGGGCAACCACGTGATGTCTCTGGAATGACCAAGGCAGAGATCTGCGAATCGTCCAGGAGATTGTCACGGTGGCCACCCTTGATGATGAGGTCCATTGCTGTTGCTCTCCAAACCTGCACCATGGGCGAAGAGGTCAAGTTACGGGCAGTTTCATGGCAGGAGCACATTGCAGCAGGCCATACTCCTTTTAGAAGAGATTGCAGAGTGTGCCAAGAGGCCTGTGCGCGTGATGCTCATCATCGGCGGCAGAAATTGCCACCAAAGGCGGGTGCCCTTAGTGTGGACATCTCAGGACCTTTCAAAGAAGCACCTGATTTGCAGAAGAAGAAGGCGAAGTATCTCCTGGTAGCCAGCTTCACTTGGACAGCCAGGAACCAAGATGGAGAGGAGGAGGTTGAGGAGATACCTGAAGTTCCCCCAGATGCGCCGGAGATTGAGGATCCAGAAGCAGAGGAGGAGCTACAGCAGATTGCAGATCAGGTTGAAAACCCAGAAGAAGGCCCAAAGGAGGACACATCAGAGGAGCTTGAAGAAAGAAAGCCGGTGAGGATTGAGGTCACCAAGCTTTGCGAGCCTTTGGCATCAAGGAGCCAAGAGGATGTGTCCAGGGCGATCATCAACATGTACATGCGTCTGAGAGCAGACGGGTATCGAGTGACACAGCTGCATAGCGACAGAGGAGCTGAGTTCAGATCGAGGATTTTGGAAAAATGGTGCCTGTCACGCACCATCCTTCAGACGTTTACGCCTGGGGATCAGCCCCAAATGAATGGACGATGTGAAGCGATTGTCCAGCACATCAAGGCAGCCATCAGGCGGACACTTCATGGAGCTGAAGCACCTTTTGATCGCTGGCCAATTGCAGCTCGCTTCATCAATGAGAAGTTGCGACAGAAGCAGGTTGACAAGGAGAAAAAGACACCGCCTTTTTTGGCGCAAGTTTTGGTCAGAAAGAGGTTTTGGAGATCACGAGAACTGGAACCAACACAGGAGAAGGTCACTTACCTATGTCCTTCTTGGGTTCATCATGGGCATTGGATTGAAAGGGCAGATGGAACTCAGGCGCTGACGAAGATGGTCATGCAGGGCTTGAGTGAACCACCAAAGTTGGAGGATTGGATTGGAGTTGAAGATGCCTTGAACCCAATCGAAGAGAGGAGAAGAATCAGACACAAAGCGTCCATATACATGCTGGAGGTTGAGGACGCCGCGGAAGCAGATGAACTTGAGAACCAAGAAGGAGATGGCAGATCACCAAGTTTTGAGGAGGAAGAAAGGGATGCATGGGCCAAGAAACAAAGGGTCCAACGTTTGATAGAAGAGGAGATGGTTGAGGCCATGGAAGATGATGAGAAAGTTGCTGGCATGGTGCTGGATTCCATCACCATGGTCAAAGAGTTGATTGGACCTGAGAAAGGAGAAGAAGTTTTGCAGACACGCATTGTGTCACAAGCTGAAGTTCGCCGTTCCATTGAGGCTTGGAGGCCATCCATCGAGAAAGAGCTGACCTCCTTGTTTGAGACGAAAGGGGCGCTGAGAAAGATCACAGAAGCTGAGGTGAAGAAGCTGCTTGACGAAGATCGAGCAGAACTTATCCCTAGCAAGCTGGTCTTCACAGTCAAGCCAGATCAGACCAACAAGGGTGGCAAGAAAAAGACACGATTGGTGGCTTGTGGGAACTTCTCAGAAAGAGAAGAAGGGCAAGATCTCTTTGCAGGCGGAGCATCAGCAGTGGCACTTCGAGCTGCATTGACGGTGGCATCACAATGTGGTTTTGAAGGGAGCGTCATGGATGTGAGGACAGCATTTTTAAATGCTCCAATGGTTTTGTCCGGGTCAAAGGATGAGAATGGGGAGAAGATGGAGCCTAGAAGAGCCATCATCCGCCATCCTGCTCTTCTCATTTTGGCTGGATTGGCCAAGCCAGACGAATTCTACGAGGTCATCATGGCCCTCTACGGCTACAAGGAGTCACCCAAATTGTGGTCAGACTACCGTGATCAGGAGATTGCAAAGATGGAGTTACCATGCGAGGGTGGCATTTTGACCTTGCAGCAAATGATCACGGAGCCAAACATGTGGAGAATGATGCTGAAGCAACCAGGTCCCAACTTGCAGACGAATGAGGAAGAGTTTGTGGGACTACTTTTGGTCTATGTGGATGATCTTCTGGTCCTTGGTTTTCCCTCATCCATCGCTGCAGTCATTCAAGGGGTGCAGGCGAAATGGGAGACATCGGAGCCAGAGACCATCAACATGCAGAAGGAGGTGAGATTTTTGGGCGCGGAGCTATGGAGAAGAGAAGATGGAGCCTGTTTGATGACGCAGACAAACTACATCAAGGACTTGCTGAAAAGAAATCTTGGAGCAGATCCCACTACGTGGCCGACTAGAAAGATTCCTTTGGTGAAGGAGCCCGAGGTCATTGAAGGTGAGGAGAAGACTCCAATGGCAGTCAAAGAAGCCCAGCGAGTCATTGGTGAATTGGTTTGGATCACTGCCAGGTCCAGGCCTGATTTGGCTTTCACTGTCTCCAAGCTGGCGTCATTGATCACAAAGTCACCTATGCAGGTTGTGCAGTTGGTGAAACCAGTGTGGTACTATTTGGCAGCCACCATGGACCAAGGTTTGATTTTTCAGAACAACATGGGCGAGAAGCAGCTCAATGTGTACACGGATGCATCATATAGCGATATCTCATTTGGATGCCATTTGATCCTTTGGGGATCGTCGCTGTTGCTCTGGAAGGCTGGCAAGCAGCCCATTCAAGCTGCATCGACGGCCGAGGCCGAACTTGTGGAGGTGCTTGAAGGAGCATTGGCGGGAGATGCTGTCAAGGTCGTTTTGGAGGAGGCATTGGATGTTTGTGCTAGGTCATTTTCCTACACAGACAGCTCAGCGGCATTAGCCATCATTGCCGGAGATACTGGATCTTGGCGGACACGCCATTTGCGGAAAAGGGCCTACATTTTGCGCTCAAGAGTTTTGTCTGGGGAATGGATGCTCCGGCATTTGCCTGGAGCTGAGATGCCAGCTGACCTGGGCACCAAAGTTTTATCGGTGCAGAAGTTCAACCAGCACAAAGAAACCATGGGCATGTTTTGGGAAGGTTGGAAAGTTTTGGAAAAGATAGAAGACGGAGAACAGAATGAAACCACTTTTGGGATGACACAAGAAGCACGTGAGAAAGCGTTGAAGATCATCATTTTGGTGACAAAATTGGCGCTTGCAGGAGCATCGAATGAGGAGAAAAAAGATATTTCAAATGCTTTGGTCATTCAAGACCTCAATCCAGTTTTGCAGCAGAGAGACGGTCAGTTTTATTTCATCATGTTTGTGGCTGTGATCCTTTTTGCCGGTTTCATCATTGGAGCATGCGTCATGGGCATTTTCATGTGGCACAGAGTTGACAAGCTCACTGTTGTCAAGTACAAAGGTTCATTGCTGAACGTGCCTGCGTTTTTGTGGCATGCGCCAGAAAGAGATGAGGATGAAAGAAATCAGCAGCAACGTGATCCAACTGTCAGGCCAAATTGGTTGCCTTCTACGGCTGCTGGCGCTGCGGGCGCTTCACCTACGGCTGCTGGCCGTGCTGCTGGCGCTGCGGGCGCTGGATCTGCGGCTGCTGGCGCTGCAGGCGCTTCATCTACGGCTGCTGGCCGTGCTGCTGGCGCTGCAGGCGCTTCATCTACGGCTGCTGGCCGTGCTGCTGGGGCTGCGGGCGCTTCATCTAGTGCTGCTGGCCGTGCTGCTGGCGCTGCGGGCACTTCATCTACGGCTGCTGGCTGTGCTGCTGACGCTGCTGGCGATGGAAATACGGCTGCTGGCCGTGCTGCGGGCGATGCATCCACAGCTGCTGGCAGTGCTGATGGCGCTCCAAGAAGTTATGGAGTAGCTGGCATTCCTAGCGCTGCAGCTGGCGCGGCAGATGGCGGCGCAGCGGCGCGTGAGCCGGCGAACATGTTGAGATCAAGAGGATCTCGTTCCCAAAGAGGACCAAAACCCCTTTTCACCACGCCATTTGGTGGAAGATACCACTGTGACCGTGAATGCCATGGTCTTAGACATGCCAAGGAAGTTTGTCTGACGCCACGATGTCACAGATGTGGCCCACAGTCAGACGTTCCCCAACATAGGCTGTATGCGATCTCACATGGATATGCACTTCATGTTGATTATGAACATTGTCGTGATGCGGGATCCAATGGTCCACTTCGGGCCTTCAATCCATGTGCGATTTGCTGCACTGCAGATGATAGACTTGTTTAGAGGGCTTGAGCTGAATATGTGGTCAGTGGAACTGATCACATAGGGGGAGTGCGTGTGAGAATTTCATGCATCCCTATTTATCCAATTCTCAAATGGAAATACTTCCACTTTTGCTTTGACTACTACCCAACGGGTGTAGTCCAGACTACTACCCTCCGGGTGTAGTCTAGGAATCTTGAAGAACCTGCATCTGGGCCGGACCGAAGCCCTTTAGATGTCAAGTGGCACAAAGGTGCGTCAGCTGGCAGCGAGGTGGCTGCTTGGAGTTTTGGGGAAACTTGGTTTTGTTTTTTGGGTTGAAACATTCTTTTTCCGGTTGGAGTCGAGATCTCAGTTGCTGTTCAGGGTTCCAGGACGGTTCACTTGTTGGCATTGGGAGGCTTCAGGAAACACATATACTATGTTTAAATATATATATATAATATATATACATATGGGGGTTATCCAAAATTATGGTACCCGAAACCTGCCCTTACACCGCGCTTTCGCGAACCTTTCGCGCCCTTTCACACCCCAGCAGAATCGGGACATGGGATTGTGATCAGGTTTTCGTGTGCAATTTCGTCACAAAGATTTACAGGAGGATTGTATTTAAAACATTTTTTTGGACATTTGACTTCTGGACAGTGGTTTTGCACCCATTCTTTGAAGTTGCGACATTGCAGAAAGAACTAGCCCGTTTTGGGCCAGGCTTGGGTCCGGGAGGATTCACCTTTCGCGGACCTTTCGCGAACCTTTCGCGGATTTCTCGTTTAAAAAATGAAATTTCAGAAACTAATGTTTATGCAAGGGTGTCTTTTACAAATTTATGCCAATCAATGTGCGCGCGTGCAAATCGTGCAAGGAAAAATGCCAAACATGAACACGATAACTTATATTAAAATAGTGGTATTCAGACCTTTCGCAAACCTTACGCCGCATTTTCTCGGCCTTTCGCCACTCGGATACTAAAAACCTTGCATGGGTTTTAGGACAACTATATAGAGAGAGAGAGAGAGAGTGGGACGCCACCAGGTCCCCCAAAATAGTAGTTTTTAAGCGTTTTTTTGACTATTGTTTGTTTTTTTCATCTTTTGATCATATATGAAAGACCAAAGTTCTTGGGAGATGTACTGTTTTTGGTTTGTTAATCCTTAGCTCTATTCTTGATTGTTTGCTTTTTTGTAGCTCTTTTTTTTTGGATAAGTGGTCTTAGTGCATGAATGGCAAACTTCTTTCTTTGCCCAACAACATCTTGAAACATAGAGATTCATTGTGTCAGTTGGTACTTCATGTATACATTACTGTCTAGGTACTACCTAGGTACACAGCTATTGCAAAGACAGTATATATATATACATATACATAGCACTTTGTATTTGCATTGGTGGTTTTTGATATTGGACTGCGAGGTCGCCTTTTGGTTGACATCATAGTTCCAGTGGAGCTCTTTTAGCAAATGGCAAATGAAAGTGCAAATTCCAATCTACTCTCCCTCCACAAGTAGTTATATTTTTTTTTGCATACTTCATGGTAACTTGCTGCATCAATGAAAAGCAAGGCAGCCATTCTATAGATACAGTTGTTTGGTAAGGTTGCTTAAGTGTTTCCTCTACTTGGTCTTGTGCCCTTCTGGTTACCATGGCGAACGTATACTGACATAGTTTAAGTTTTACCCACAGCCATGAGTACATTTATGGTAAAAAAAATCATAAAAGCACAGCCAAGCAATTATGGTAACAGGATACCTGGATTAGATATGCAGTGGCATAGCAAATTACTGTGAAATATACAGGAAAATATCTTTGGAGAAAGTGTAAGTTGGAGCTGTCCTTGCCATGAGCCAACTCTTATGAGCAAAGTCAGTTGCAACCAAAGAGTCTTTATTGCAATCAATCCTGGAAGAATTCCATTACATATGCAAAGTACATGCAGAAAATATGTGTACGTATTGGTATGTGCTACTTATGTACCATCCATATCATAGATGCATACAGTAGTACTACCAGGAAAAATGCAAGTCCATCAATGTATCTAGGAGGGCTATATATAGGACGGCTAGGAGAGGGGAAAGGCTCGATTTTTTTTTTTTCGTTTTGTCCTTTGCCACCTCTCCCCTAAGGGAAGCCATATATGTATACACACACTATATGTGTTTTTCCTCCTTCCTTTTCCCTGGAGACCTTCATGACTCTCTGGGCATTCTTTGGCAACCTCTGAGGAAGTCTGACAATCTGTGTAGATCTCTAGTAATATCATAACATGTATATGAACATAAATGACCGAACAGGATGTAGCAAAAACACTTCATTTCCAGAAATGTGGAAAAATGGTGACCTGACAGCGTCCGTTTCTGTATATATATATTTACAGTGTATATATATATATTTATCTATTATATATAGATGTTCAACTATATATATATTCAAATATGTATATAAAAATATATATACATAAATATATATATATATAGCGCCGGACAACTACTTAGAACATCGTTTTGGAAATTTTTCGGTGGGTACGCGCCCTCTACTTAGAACATTTTCGGCGAATAGGGGACGTATGTTCTAAGTGACTTAGAACATATGAGGATCCTCTACTTAGAACACGCCATCATATATACATGTAAATATATGTATATGTATACATACATACAACTTCACACTGCATATTTATATTATATATACAGGAGGTGTGATGTTGCGTCAATTGGGGCGGAGTCTTGGTGACCAAGAAGCACAACGCTGGAAAGGAGGTCATCCTCCATGGGGACTCTGGTGGGTGTTTGATTAATCGGGATGGGATTCATATTATACAGGTTTGGAAAGTTTTTATTATATGAATCTATAGTGCCGGACAACTACAATCTTCAAAATATATTATATATACACAGGATTTTCCAAAATGCACGTAGATAGCTGGTGGGATTCTTACTTAGAACATGGAGGAACCCCCAAAACCTCTGTGTATATATATATATAGCGATGTACATACGATTCGAACATCAGGTTTGGAAAGTTTTTATTATATGAATATATAGTGCCGGACAACTACAATATTCAAAATATATTATATATACACAGGATTTTCCAAAATGCACGTAGATAGCTGGTGGGATTCTTACTTAGAACATGGAGGAACCCCCAAAACCTCTGTGTATATATATATATAGCGATGTACATACGATTCGAACATCAGGTTTGGAAAGTTTTTATTATATGAATATATAGTGCCGGACAACTACAATATTCAAAATATGTATATAATAGTATATATACACAGGATTTTCCAAAATGCACGTAGATAGCTGGTGGGATTCTTACTTAGAACATGGAGGAACCCCCAAAACCTCTGTGTATATATATATATAGCGATGTACATACGATTCGAACATCAGGTTTGGAAAGTTTTTATTATATGAATATATAGTGCCGGACAACTACAATATTCAAAATATATTATATATACACAGGATTTTCCAAAATGCACGTAGATAGCTGGTGGGATTCTTACTTAGAACATGGAGGAACCCCCAAAACCTCTGTGTATATATTATAGCGATGTACATACGATTCGAACATCAGGTTTGGAAAGTTTTTATTATATGAATATATAGTGCCGGACAACTACAATATTCAAAATATATTATATATACACAGGATTTTCCAAAATGCACGTAGATAGCTGGTGGGATTCTTACTTAGAACATGGAGGAACCCCCAAAAACCTCTGTGTATATATATATATAGCGATGTACATACGATTCGAACATCAGGTTTGGAAAGTTTTATTATATGAATATATAGTGCCGGACAACTACAATATTCAAAATATATTATATATACACAGGATTTTCCAAAATGCACGTAGATAGCTGGTGGGATTCTTACTTAGAACATGGAGGAACCCCCAAAACCTCTGTGTATATATATATATATAGCGATGTACATACGATTCGAACATCAGGTTTGGAAAGTTTTTATTATATGAATATATAGTGCCGGACAACTACAATATTCAAAATATATTATATATACACAGGATTTTCCAAAATGCACGTAGATAGCTGGTGGGATTCTTACTTAGAACATGGAGGAACCCCCAAAACCTCTGTGTATATATATATAGCGATGTACATACGATTCGAACATCAGGTTTGGAAAATTTTTATTATATAAATATATAGTGCCGGACAACTACAATATTCAATATATATTATATATACACAGGATTTCCCAAAATGCACGTAGATAGCTGGTGGGATTCTTACTTAGAACATGGAGGAACCCCCAAAACCTCTGTGTATATATATATATAGCGATGTACATACGATTCGAACATCAGGTTTGGAAAGTTTTTATTATATGAATATATAGTGCCGGACAACTACAATATTCAAAATATATTATATATACACAGGATTTTCCAAAATGCACGTAGATAGCTGGTGGGATTCTTACTTAGAACATGGAGGAACCCCAAAACCTCTGTGTATATATATATATAGCGATGTACATACGATTCGAACATCAGGTTTGGAAAGTTTTTATTATATGAATATATAGTGCCGGACAACTACAATATTCAAAATATACTATATATACACAGGATTTTCCAAAATGCACGTAGATAGCTGGTGGGATTATT